GATGATGATGATGTTGATGATGATGATTATGATCATGATGATGATGATGATGATGATGATGTGTTGATGATGATGATGATGATGATGATGATGATGATGATGATGATGATGATGATGATGCTTGATGATTTTGGTTGATGATGTTTTCGCTGTTGCGCCACAGGCGCGCGGGGACCCCGGGGGAGGCGCAGTCTGGTTCTACGCGCTGCTCTGCCACGGCCTCCCGGCGCTCTTCCAGGCGCGTCGCCTCCCCACCCCGGCGTCGACGCCCCCGCATCTCGGCGTTGCAGGCATCCCGGGTGCAAAGATCGAGGGCGAGCGAGGCCCTGGAAGAAGCTCGAGGAGGATCGATGATCGGGAGGACCAGGGGGGGATCGAGCAGGATCGAGGCTCGTGGAGGACTGGAAGAGGTTCGGGGAGGGTCGAGGTTCGTGGACGACCGGGGATCTGCAGGCGGGCTCGAGGATCGAGGATGGTCGAGGCTGTTTTTTGATGGACGTTCTGGAGCCTGTGCCCTCCGAAAGGCCCCCAGAGGCCTCTGGGAGGCTGAGTGGGACGACCCCGTCGCTTCCTCCCACCTCCCTGCTCTCCCCCCCTCTCGTCCCCCCCCTGCTCTCTCCGCCCTTGTCTTCCCCCCCCCCTTCGCCTCCTCGCTCCTCTTCTCCGTCGCCATCCCCCTCTCCTTCCCCACCCTTCTGCCTCTCGCCCCACTCCCTTCTCTCTCCCTTCTCTCTCTCCCTCTCTCCCTCTCCCTCTCTCTCCCTCTCTCTCCCTCTCTCTCCCTCTCTCTCTCCCTCTCTCTCTCTCTCTCTCCCTCTTTGTATCTGTGTACGTCTATGTGCACACACACACACACACGGCGGGAGGCCAGGCGCCTGGGGCCCCCAGGGCCAGAGCCCCGACCGCAGAGGGGGACGCCGGGGGCCGGTGCCCGCACCCGAAGGTCCCCAATTCGAGGGTGGACAGACCTCCTACCCTGACAGGTCGATTCGCGAATTGGCCGTTCTCGGTTCGCGAGAGGGCGTCGCGGCCGTCATTTTTGCGGGTCCAGGTCCGTCGGTTTCGGTCCCAGGCCGTTTTCACTAAAGGGAGGTTTACTAAAGGGAGGTTTGTCCACCGCCGACCAGTGCCTCCCCAGAGGTCCCCAAGACAGGGCCGCGGCCGCGGCCGCTCCGCGCAGACCGCTGGTCGGTCCATCCCATCCCGGGGACGTCCCGCGCGTTCGCTCGGGCGTCCTTCGCCTTCTCGGCGGCGAGCGAGGGGGGGGGGGGGGGGAACGAGAAGGAGACGGCCTTCTCAGAAGGCGGCGGGGCTCCTCCGGAGGCCCTGGGACGTCCGAGCCTTCGGAGAAGGCCCTCTCCTCTTCGCCTGCCCCCTCGCTCGCGTCGGAAGGTTCCGAGACGGCGGCCCCGGAGCGCTCCGAGACAACCATCCTGATCAGTGCCTTTTAAATTCGATGCCTTGCGATGCGTTTCTCAGTATGCACACCTCGGTCAGATATGGCTTGCCTGGCACGCCGCCCCAGCAGTTTGAAGCCCGTCTCCGAATGCAGGCGAGACGGCACCGAGCTTGCAGAAGAGTGTGGTCGGTGGAAGGGAAGGGTCACCCTAAAAACCGCCCCATTTTAGGGTGACCCTTGGCGCCCTCTCAAAAAAAGAGCGCTCCGAGACACCCCAGGGGGCCTCAAGATGACCCCAGAGGCCCAAGAGGCACCCCGAACGCACCGAGAGGGCTCGAAGGGGACTCCAAGGGGAGCCCCCACGAGGCGACGACCCACTGTTTTCGGGGGGTTTTGCCGCATGTTGTAACTCTCCCGGGCCCCACCCCCTCCCAGGCCCAGGGGAGGGGGTATGGGGGAGGGGTGAAGCACTCCCCCGAGCAGGGGGAAGCAGGGGGAGAGATGGCAGAGCTCGCTCCACTGCCTACGCCCAGAGGGCTTCTGCGGCCTCTTGGGTCGGCGCTGGGCCCCCCCTGGCGGCACTGCCTACGCCCAGAGGGCTTCTGCGGCCTCTTGGATCGGCGCTGGGCCCCCCCTGGCGGCGCCTCCAGCACCGCCCCTGGCCCGCTCCGCGCACCAGGAAGGGGGGCCCGCGGTGCCGCTCCAGGAGGAGCCCCGCGCGGAGCTCCCCCAGGGCTGCTCGCCCCTCCTGGGGGGGGCGGCGGGCGAGGGCCGCGCCTTCCCTGGCGCGCCCGCCCCCCCCTGCGGCGCCCGAGGTGGCCCCGCTTCCCCGGGTGGCCCTGGACCCCCCCCCCCCCTCGGGCCGGACGAAAGGGGGGATAGGGAACGGGGGGGCTGGGGATGGGGTTGTTGGGGGGGGTGGGGGGGGGAGGGTGGGGTATGACGAAATCTGCGCACACGCAGACGGCCTGCAGGGCCCCCCCCCCCCCCCCCCCCACCCACCACACACCCCAACAAAAACCCACACCAGGGGCCAAAGATTTAGTTCGCTGCGGGTGCTTGAGTGGAGTCTCAGGCCTTTTTTGTGTGGGTGTATGGTTTTTTTTTTTGTGGGATTATTTTTTTTTTTGGTTCAATTCTGTTTTTTTTTTTGATTATATTTTTTTTTTGTTTTTTAGTTTGTGTACGTGTTTGTCTTTTGCCTTAAAGTCCCCCCCTTTTCGCACCCAGGGCAGCACCCCCCCCCCCCCCCCCCCCCCCCCCCCCCCCCACCCCCCCCCACCCCCCCCCCCACCCCCCCCCCCCCCCCCCCCCCACCCCCCCCCCCCCCCCCCCCCCCCCCCCCCCCCCCCCCTTTAGACCTCCGTGCGGCCCGCGGCGGGGCGGCCGCGGGCCCGACGCGGGCCGATGGCGGAGAGGGGCCGCCGACCGAGCCGCGACGGGCTACCCCTCGGTGGCCCGCAGAGGCCGTTTTTTGTTCGCGGGGGGGCGGTCGACTCTGGTTCACTGCTACGTCGACACGGCGGCGACGACGAGGACGGCAGTCGACGAGCACGAACGGCGAACGACGGCGACGAACCGAGGACGGGAGTCGTACCGACGACAGAGAGACGTAATACGGACGACACCGAGCACCGACACGACCGACGGGCGACACGCGACGGACGACGGACGGACACGACGGACGACGAACAGGACGTCCACGACGACGACCGACGACGGCGACGACGACGGCGGCGGTAGGGCGGGGGAAAAAACGACTGAGGGCGGAAACGGCGACGACGACGGCGGCGAAAACGACGGCGGACGACGACGACGGCGGACGACGACGACGGCGGCGAAAACGACGGCGACGACGACGGCGGCGACGACGAGGACGACGACGGCGGCGACGACGGCGGCGAGGACGGCCGAGGCCCAGGCGGCCCACGTGGACGGTGCGGCCCACGGGCCACCTCGCCAGCCACGTGCCCTCCTCATGAACATATACGCTCAGGCGACACGACCCCCTGCCCCCCTCTCGAAATGACAGATCCGGCTGACTCACGATAAAAGACTCGCACCTCATCCTGCCCCTCCACCTCCTACTCCTACTCCTAATCACCTCACTACCTCCTCCTTTTCCTCCCCTCTTTTTCTCTCCTTCTCCTACCTTACTCACTCCTCCTCCTCCTACACTCCTACTCATCCTAACCTCCTTCTCCTCCTCCTCCACCCTCCTCTCTCCCCCTTCCCTCCCACATCCCCATCCTCCTCCTCTGGCCTCCTCTTCCTCCTCTCCTCCTCCTCACTCACTCCTCCTCCTTCTCCTCCATCCTCTCCTCTCCTCCTCCTCCTCCTCCTCCTCCTCCTCCCTCCTCTAACGTCTCCTCCTCCGCCGCCCTGCTCCCCCCTGCCACGTCCGCCCCTCCTTCGTCCCTCCCTCGGCCCACATAGACTCCAGTCGGTCCTGTCCCTCTACGGGAGGAAAACTCAAAAATAGTCAGAACAAATAGTCTGGAGACGATGTTTGGAGTATGTTTTGATCATTCTTGCGTATTTTTGGGCTATTCGCAATTCTTCCCCCAAAATCCACCTGTACGGGGACATGCCCGACCTAAACGTAGACGGTGCGACCCACGGCCCACCTCCCAGCCATCCTCTTCCTCCACACCTCGCGCCTCACTCCCTTCCACGTCCGCCCTCTCCTCCGTTCCTCCTTCCCTCCCTCCACAATCACGCATGTGATGGTTACCCGTCGGTCGTTGGGAGTATGTATTTCTGAACTCCCAGATCCCAATCTACTCTAGCCGCCTTCCTACTTCAAGAGGCGAGTGGTTTTCCCTCTTCCCTCCTCTTCAGGAGGTGGGCGCGAGCCCAATCCACTTCCAACGCCTTCCTACTTCATGTCTTTCTTCCGACCGACGGGTGCATCTCCTTTCTCTCCCCTGACTCTGTCCGGAGAATCTCCGGCCCTCCGCGCATTTGCTTGTGACGTTTGATTCAAAGCATTGCGCCTCTCATGCTTTGTTTCTCAATGACGTGGTTGTCCGTCTTTCAGAATGGTGTTCCCGCTGCAGCGTGGGCCTCATCTTCGGATCGGCGCCTCGCTCCAGCCGTTCGGGGAGGCGCTGTCGCTCCAGCGCGGGCCACTTTTCCGGATCGGAGTTCTTTGTCATCGCCGTTGCCCCCTATCGTTTCCCTCATCCGCTTTCCCCTGGTCCTCCTGCTCCTTCCATTCCTTCCACTCCAGGCACTACTGCTGTTCGTCATCGTCCTCCTCCATCCTCCCTCCTCCTCCTCCTCCTCCTCCTCCTCCTCCTCCTCCTCCTCCTCATTGTCTTCCTGCTCACCCGCCACCTCCTCCCCCTGTGTACACAGTTCCTCTTCTCTGATTGCGCGTAGCATGATGGGGTCTTTCTGTGGGCGTTCCAGGTCGGTTATGACACGCGTCCGCGGATAGAGAAACTTTCGCGCAACGGGAAGGAACGGGAGGGAGGCATATGATGTCGGATACAGCGCGAGCGCACCTAGCTGCTCTCTCTCTCTCTCTCCCTGTATCTCCCGCTCTTGCTCTCCTGGCTCTCTTGCAGAAGCTCCCTCCTCCGTCGGTCCTCCCGCATCGCTCTGCCTCCGTTTGCCCCCATCTCATGCTCCCGCTGTTCCTGGGTTCCACGTGCCTCCTCCTCCTCCCTCCCCCCATTCCCCAAGGTCGGCGTCGTCGGCGCCTTCGTCCGTCGCCCCGTCGCCGCCCGTGGGGCCGCAGTCCCGCTTCCTCCGCCCTTCGCCGTCGTCCGTCGACGCCGCGCCGCCCCTGCGGCGGCGGCGTGGGCTCAGATCTCGGAGGAGTCTGTCCCCAG